CGTTGGAAAGTGGCCGGCGCCGAGTGCAGCCCGAATGGCATTACTCGGAATTGGAAGAGTCCTTTCCCGGGGACCGTGAAAGCGGTGATCGGCCGGCTCTCGGGGGTGAGGGGTACCTGCCGATATCCGTTCTTGAAGTCAAGTGTCGATAGGTAGCGTGCCCTCCTCAGTTTGTCCAGGGTGGCGGTAACCTGAGGTAGCGGATACGCGTCGCGATGAGTGACCTCGTTAACGCGGCGAAAATCTATACAAAACCGATGCTGGCCATCCTTTTTCTTAACGACGACGATCGGGGAGCTCCACGGGTTTTCGAAAGGTTCTATGATGCCCTGCTCGAGCATATGCTCCATCTCCCTATCAATAATGACCTGCATGGCCGGGTTTCGGGGCCGGTATCGTTGTTTAGTCGGGTCGCTCAATCGGATACGGAGCTGGGCTTTTCCGGTCGGCCCGCTGATCCCCTCGAATTTTCGGAATTCGCGTTCCAGAAAGGTTTGGAGCGCCCGGCGCCCCTCCGGCGTTTGGCCGGTCAGTCCGCCGGTAGCCGCGCAGTGTCCTCCCTCGAGGATAGACAAAGAGGGTGGCGGGGTCCTCAGTCGGAGTTTCGCCTGTGCGTTGACCCCGAGCAGGAGGTCGCTTTCCATTTCCGGTACGATCGTGAACGTGTGCGTCACCCTCTTTCCCCGTACGCAGAGGGATACGGTTACGGTGCGGGGACGTTTGCCGGGGTCCCGTCTACCAGTAGGATTTGCCCCCCTGGCTGTCCCACTATTCCCTCTCGGCGGAGCACGTTCATCGTGCGTTCATTCACCAAGGAGACCTCTGACCCGGAATCAATTAGGGCATCAATGCGGTGTCCCTTGATAGAAACGAAAATGTGGTCGCGGCAAAAATCTTATGCGAGGGTTATTGCGGGAACCGCGACCGCGGACACCCCCACTCCTGACGCGTTTCCCGGACGGGGTTGACACTCGGAGGTCGAAACCCCGTCCTTGCCGCATTGGGAGCAAAATTTGACGGAGGGGCGTCGGCACTGGGCCTGCGTGTACCCCCGTTGTTTACAGCGCCAACAGCACTCGTGCTTGTTGTAAGTGGCCGCGACGGCCGAGGTCGGTTTCTCCCGTTTTTGGAGTTCCCGTCTTTCCTTCTCTATGTGCTCGAATTCCTTCGTCTGGGATTGCAACTCGGCGAGGTTTCGAACGTCGTCATATGCCTTGTATTCGGAGTGCATATTTTCATACAGTTTAATGTGTGAGCCGTTGCCACGAATGGCAAAGGCTCGTGCTACCTCGCCCTCTCGGGCACACGCCACATTTTTACATCCACTGTTTATCGAAACCACCCCGAGCCGGGCGATGGAAAAATCCAGATACGCCCACGGGATCCTTATCGCGGGAATGGACAATTCGGTCACATACCAATGAGGCTGCACATCTTCCACCCAGGTGCACCTATAGCCGTCGATTCGCGCCTTTGCGTCCGACTCAGTGCACTATCCCCCACTGGCAGTGTACACGGGGAACCACGGGAAGGCCTGTCCATTTGCATCCTGCCTGGATACACGCTTCTGACCCTGTTGGGCGGAATTTTGGATGGAGTAGGATGTGGTCGGGACGGGTGGATGGGATGTGGCCATGTGACACATCCAGGTGCCGGCCGTGGATAATGGCGGAATATATAGGTTGGAGCAGTCTTACCTAACCAAAAGCTATCTTAAAACTACGCGACGCGACTTCGAAAGCGCGGTGATCCCGTGAAGATTACGGGGCCGCACTTTCATTGCCGAAGACTCCGATCTCTCCGGTTGAACAACGGACCCTACCTACTATTGAATCTATGACTCGTGTCTCTTTAGCTAAAGAGTTTCGCTACAAAATTCTCTAAACAATGCAAATGCCTCTGGACTGGAAACGAAGAAATGCGCCACGTCCGGCCATTGCTGTTTATCTCTAGGAACTACGCTAAGCAGAACTTCCCTCTGCGCGTCGAAAATAGGGCATTCCAATATGAAATGTTGTACCGTATCTGTCCTACTTCCGCAAATGCACGCTTCACTTTCTACGAGATTTAACAAGGCTAACCGAGCCCTAAAATCGCCGTGTCCGGTGAGAGCTTGCGTGCTCCAATGATCGGTTTCTAGAGAACGCACGGCTAATCTGTCTCGCACGTTGTTAAAATAGGCAAATATGGTACGAGCCTTACTCGAAGATAACCATTTGGTCTGCCACATATTATTCACCTCATCACGAATATCCTTTCTATCGCGGTTTTGAAATCAGTTTCGGCGGGAATTTCTATATTACCGATCTTGACGTTCTTACCTACTCTAGCGTTATAGCGCGCGATACTTTCCCGGAGAACGATGGAGGTCGACTGGAGTCGCACCGGCGACGACGCAAAGCGAGTCCCACGATACGATGCCGTACGATACGAACTAGTTGTTGAAATAAGAACACGGCGTTGCATTGATTTTAGAACCCTAATATCACTCTCCGTACATAAATCGGCCCACCCCGCAGCGGTATAAGCTACCGTCGGTACAAACACGCCCCGATATATCGTGGAGAGTGCCCTAAAGCGGAGGCCCCACTGGGCTCTTGCCAATCGACCTAACTGCGCGAATAGCAAGCCGACCTTGCCATTTAGATACTCGCAATGTGATTTTACTTTTAAGTTTCTATCCAAGTGAACGCCAAGATATCTGACCGTTTGTTTAAACCCTATCCTCGTGTTACCGATTTTAATTATGGGCGGCCTATTTTCGAAGTCGACGGTTCTCTTCGTGGTCTTTCGCTTCCTATCCGATCGCGCTCCTCCCCATCTACCTATCGGATTTCGCGCTATCGCGTCAGACTTCAGAATGATGGCTTCAGTTTTACGCTCGGAAATCTGAAGCTTCGCGAATCTACACCATTCTGTTATTACCGTAACTACACGTTGGCTCTCTGTCTCTACTTCCCTACGCGAGTTTCTGTTTACGACGACCACGAGGTCGTCCGCGTACGCGGCAAATCTATCCTGAACCGTTCCAATATCCTCAGAAAGCCATCAAACATAAGATTCCAGCAGGCCGGACCAAGAACAGAACTCTGCGGGCATCCCCTCGTCACCCGCTTGGACACCTCCGCGGAACTAAGCGTGATCTTGACTTCGCGGTCCTCGAAGTAGCTCCGGAGCACTTTAAATATATTTTGCAGACAATCGCGTTTTTTAAGGCTATCTAAAACGAGAGACCACCAGACATTGTCAAAAGCCCCGGAAATGTCAAAGAGAAGTGCTATAGCATACCTCCCTTCGAAGGCAGAGACCATTCGCCGCAACTCAACAACAGCGTCCTTCGTCGACCTTCCGGGCATAAACCCGAACTGTCGCCGAGAGACCTTATCCGGCGCCAGTGACGTGTCCAGCAGCCGAGATTTGAGAAGTTTCTCAAAGAGCTTTCCTACCACGGAGAGGAGACAGATGGGTCTGTAAGATTTCGGGTCCCTCTCGTCCTTATCTTCGCCTTTCAGAAGAACTCGAAGCGAGCTCCTCTTCCAGACAGAAGGAAAGACCCCACTGGAGGCACCCGTTGAACAACCTAACTAATTGACCGGGGATTAATCTACAGGCTGCCTTGAGCACGGCAACCTCTATTAAATCTATACCCGGAGTTTTATTATTTTTAAACGTTTTAACCGCGTCAGCCACTTCCTCTATAGCAGGGGTCGGCAACCTGCGGCTCGCGAGCCACATGCGGCTCTTTAGATGTGAAGCTGCGGCTCTTTAGTTCCATACGCAAATATTATTTATTTTATCAAAAAAAAACATTTAAAAATCGTTCTGGATCGATTAACGAGGATTAGGCACCGATTCTATCTCTCAGCCACTTGTACTCGCTTTTCACCGCACCCCTCCCCCGTGACACGCGTCGTCACTGTCGTCAGTCCGTCGGAAGCTCTCGAATGACGCCGTCGTCGGATGTTTCTATGTAGGTTTTAATTCGCTTTCGACGCAAGACAATTTGGCGTCTTCACCAGTGCTTTGGCTGTGACGTATAGTTTGTTGTTTCAAGTAAAAGAGTTAGAAGCGAATTATCTTCTCAAAGTTATGTATGTACGTATATATATATATATATATATATATATATATATATATATAATAATAATAATAAAAAAACCGAAGTAAAGGTAGGTAACATAATAAGTATTATATTTTTAAAATACATATTATACATATTTTTTTCCAAATAAGATACCTAACTACTTTTTGAAGTCAATAAGAATTGTCAAAAAAGAAACAAAGTACTACTGTTGGATATTACCGCGAAAGTGTTTTTATTAAAATATATATTTAATAAATTATCTATTTTATTATTTATCTATTTTATAGCTTTTATTATTTAAAAATTAGCGTTAAAATAATAATTATAAGTGTAAGTACCTATAAATTGTTATTTAATAAACCTATTTTTGAACTCTGAGGATCAAAGTAGGTAGGTATTTGTAGTTTTAGATTGTTTATATGTTTGGCAATTTTCATTGATTTCGGCATAGCTGGGCATAACACCTTTACTCGTAAACTAAGTATCTAATATTTGCCAAAATTAAAAAAAAAACTAAAATGTGCAGACTGCGCCGTGATAAACACGTTCTGACAAGTCCGTTCGTGCCAGTCGGCGATCACCGCACACGGGAGGCGACCACAGATGCGACGAAACTATGTACTTATAGTCAATCAGTACGTGAGAGAGTGAGACAAACAGTGTTTCGTGTCTAAATTATTTATTTTAATAATTAAATTATTAGAGAATTATTTATTTTATTTAGGTAAGTATTTTTAATTGGGAAATATCGTTGTAAAATGTTTTTTGATAAATTATATTTCATTATGCCCAGCTTCTCGTATGTATTTACTTAGGTATACGTTGACATAGTAAATAATTGCAAAACTTGTCATCTGCTGTTTTGGATACCTAAATAATAATTTTAAAAATTCTTTATTACAGCTTCACCGCAAGCATGGCATCTACAAAAAAAAAGAGAAGAACTGAAGAAGAGCATCGAGAATTCAATCAGGATTGGACAGAGTCGTTCGCTTTCATATGCAACTCAGATGGCCTTCCGACTTGTCTCATTTGCCACGAAAAACTCGCACACAATAAGAAATCAAATTTAGAGAGACACTTCACTAAAAAACATACACAGTTTGCTAGTAAATATCCAGCCGGCGAAGAACGAAAAAAAGCTGTCGACGAGCTCCAAAAACAAAAACAGCAATCAAGTTCCATGTTAAGTAACTGGACGCAATCTACAAGTAATGTTAATCTGGCAAGCTTCGCGGTATCACTAGAAATTGCAAAAAAAGGCAAACCATTCACAGATGGTGAGTATGTCAAAGATTGCTTCATACGTGCATCTGAAGAACTGTTTCGTGATTTCAAAAACAAACCAGAAATCTTGAAAAAAATCAAAGATTTGCCACTATCCGCTAAAACAGTACAAGATAGAATAGCTAAAATGTCTTCAAATGTAACATATTTGCAGGTGGAAGATATTCAACTTTCTTCTGCCTTATCACTTGCTATAGATGAGTCTTGCGACATAAAAGACACGGCACAAGTTACCCTTTTTGTCAGGTATATGTCTTCCCAAGGTCCAAAAGAAGAACTTCTAGGATTGCTACCGCTCTCGGGACAAACTAGAGGGGAAGATATAGCGAATGCCGTGCAAAAATGCCTTGAAGACAATAAGATCGATTTAAATAAAATCGTTTCAATAGCAACTGATGGAGCCAGAAGTATGACAGGAAAAAATAAAGGAGCAACAACGATTCTTCAGAGCAAAATAAACCACGAAATTCTTACGTTTCACTGCATAATACACCAAGAAGCGCTTTGTGCCCAAACATTTCCGAAATAGTTGAGGTCATGAATTTGGTAATCAAGATTGTTAATAGCATCTTGTCAAAAGCACTCTACCATCGTCAGTTTAAAGAATTCTTAATGGAGACTCAGTATTCCGACCTCCTTCTTCACAATAAAGTGCGATGGCTTTCCAAAGGTAAGGTGTTGAAACGTTTTGCTTTGTGCTTGAATGAAATAAATACATTCCTAAATGAAAAAGGCATTAATCACCCTGAATTAGAGAACGACAAATGGTTGCAAAAATTTTACTTTATGGTGGATATCACAGCGAAATTAAATGAGCTGAATCTAAAACTGCAAGGAAAGGGAAACCCAGCCTATGTTTTGGTAGAAGAATTGGTTTGTTTTGAAGAAAAATTAATTCTTTTTGCAGAAGATATTCAGAACGGTAAATTACTTCATTTTCAATTTCTAAAGCAATATCGCGATAAAACCAGTGCAACTATTGACACGAATTACTTCAGCACAGTTATAAAAAAAATTAAAGATGAATTTGCTGACAGATTTGAGCAATTCAAAACCAATAAAACCATTCTAGCATTCATAGTAAATCCTCTCAACACAAATAGTAACGAAATCCACATTGAACCATTTGGAATTGATACTGGATCTCTAGAAATGCAATTGATCGATTTAAAAAGTAAAGCTTTGTGGAGTGGAAAATTTACAGAGTTGAAAAGCAAGTTGGAAGAGTTGGAGGTCCAGAAATGTATGTACGTAACGCAACAAAAGTGGACAGCTTTGAAAGAAATGCCGCGAGTTGAGGCACTTATATTCGACGCATGGAATAGTCTTCCAGATTGCTACAGTGAGGTGAAGAAGTTGGCATTTGGAGTGCTGACTATCTTCGGATCGACATATTCGTGCGAGCAAGCGTTCTCTTGCATGAATATAATTAAAAGTAAAGTAAGAAGCCAACTAACAAATGAAAATTTAGAGTTGTGTTTGAAACTTAAAACAACAAGTTATGAGCCAAATTTATCCAAACTTTCTAAAACCATGCAAAGCCAACGCTCCCATTGAATTTGTTTGCTCAAATGTATGTTATTGTTTTTTTTATTTTAAGTACAAGTTACATTGTTTAGTAAAGTTTAAATTTTCTACTTGAATAACCATGCAAAGCCAACGCTCCTATTGAATTTATTTGCTCAAATGTATGTTATTGTTTTTTTATTTTAAGTACAAGTTACATTGTTTAGTAAAGTTTAAATTTTCTACTTGAATAACCATGCAAAGCCAACGCTCCCATTGAATTTGTTTGCTCAAATGTATGTTATTGTTTTTTTTTATTTTAAGTACAAGTTACATTGTTTAGTAAAGTTTAAATTTTCTACTTGAATAACCATGCAAAGCCAACGCTCCCATTGAATTTGTTTGCTCAAATGTATGTTATTGTTTTTTTTATTTTAAGTACAAGTTATATTGTTTAGTAAAGTTTAAATTTTCTACTTGAATAACCATGCAAAGCCATCACTCCCATTGAATTTGTTTGCTCAATTGTTTGTTATTGAAGTACAAGTTAGTGTTGTAAGTAAATGTTTAATTGTTTTAATTTTTTACTTAAATAATAAGTAATTATCTAATAATGCCATATATATATTATCTAATTTGTTGTGAAAAACACTACTTATATATGAATAAATAGATATTTTTTCTTATGAATAAATAGATTAGTTTTTTTTATCAAAAAACTTTATTTATGCGAGTACTATTTATTGTTGGCAAGAAAAAATTTTGTGGCTCTTTAAAAACTTTGAAATTTTGTAAATTGTAATTTTTGACTCTTCCGACTCAAAAGGTTGCCGACCCCTGCTCTATAGCAAAGAGAGGAGCATTGGCTGTATCTGGAAGATCTCTACTCGATACTCTAATTTCACGCTGCTCGGGCGTGTCCCCTATTTCCCGGTCATCCGGAATGTGTACATCCAGGAAATAGCCGGCGATCTCCCTTAATGTTTGTGTGGAATATTCGCCACACCGGAGTGTGCTAAGCACCCCCTCAACCTGGAGTTTGCCTGTTGCTTGTAAACGAAGCCCCAGGGCTCCCGGTTTCCGTGCGATATGACAAACTTCCGCCAGCTTGCGAGCCTTGCCCGCTTTACCTCCCTACAGTACTGCTTTTGCAAAGAACGATACTCCAGCAGTACCCGAAGATAAGCAGGTTCCTCTCGCCCTTTCTGGATAACACGATGCATCCTATATACTTTTTTCTTAATGATGGTAAGTCTTTTTGTCCACCACGGGTTGGACTTTCTAAATCTACGCTTCCTTGGCATTGACGCGACACAGGTCTCCGTGAGTACAACTGTGAGCGTTTCTGCCATCTTCTCTATCTCCACTGTGGAACACAGATCGATAGCCTCTAGTTGCGATCTTGAAAGATCTGTCAGGGTCTCAGAGAACCGTTCCCAGTCGGCTCGATTTGTATCGAACCTTGTGTTCCCAGTTCCCCGATCGTCACCTGACTCTTTGGGCACCCTCAACCTTATGTCCACCGCCCTATGGTCGCTGGTAGTCCAGTCACACCTCACCTTCCAATCACAGATGAATTTGTTCATGGAGGGCGACGCCAAGGTCACGTCGATGAATGACGAGCCTCTTGTCGTCTAAAAGGTGGGTGGCTGTCCAGCATCATTGACCACGAACATACCGAATGCCCTGATGAGGTCGAATTTGGCACCTCTATCATTTGTCTCTTGGCGACCCCAGAGTGACGATCGAGCATTGGCGTCTACACCTATTATGAGTCTCTCCCCCCTCAGTGAACGAAACACCGTCTCGAGGTGCCTGAGTTGCCCCTCAATCTTGTCGTTTTACTGAAAGTAGCACGAAACGACGTAGAAAGAGAAGCTGGGGGCCTGCACTTCCACACAGACACAATGTGTGGTGCTAAGCTGCGAAACGAAAACCATTTGAAAATTGGGATTACAGATCGCCACTGCTGCCCACGGACGTTGCGAGCGCACAGCAACAACTTTCATCTCTGTATCTAGCCCTACGAAGGTATGGCTCAAGCCCTGCTGCCTGACGTATGGTTCCTGCAATAACAAGACGTCAAGTCGCTTTCCGGCTACAAGCTGACGTACCTTGCCCGTTACCACAGCCGAACGTTGCATATTCAGCTGCAGCATCCTAACACCCGTGGACGCATTATTTAAGCTAACCGCTGTACCTAGCCTATCTAATACTTATGGCACCGGGCCACTCGCTGTGTGGCGGGGTGAGGTTCGCGAATCTAACCGTCTTTCGTACCGTTTTCGTGGCTTCCACGGATCTAAATGCGGATCTAATCGCGGGCCTATTTGTTTCGCACACTATGTCAACGCCATTGACAGTTCCTAATTTTCGCACTAAATTTACCGATGCAGACCTAATCTCGGAAATCAAGCAACGTTCTAAAACGACGGACGCGGTTTTCATCACGGCTACTTCGCGATAGATCGACGCGGTTCTAACGGCAGGAAGGCCGTAATCCCGGGGCTGTAATCACCATCGCGTTCTGTGTCTCAGGCCAGCGCGCACAGCTCGGTGAGGCGCTCTCGAGGAGGCGGAGGCCGCCACCGAGCGGTCGAGCAGACCCGCGACCCAACGACGGAGACACCCCGCGCTTCCCTAACAGCGACCGCGTCAGGCCGGAAGCGGTCGGCCAGCCGGGCACGCCTCCTCACCACGTCAAAATTTTTAAAATTGGAACTACTCATTTTGATCCCACGAGTCCGTTGGAAGGGGTGGTCGAACGACGTAGAGCCACCATTACGCCGTCAAGTCTACATACGCCGGGAGGACGGCAGGTATCCCGGGATGGACCGTTCGCGACCGCGACATTTTGTGTCTACGCGATCATGCAGACGCTAAGTACGGTTCCTACACTTTAGTCTTCAGACTTCAGCGGGACCGACCGCGATCACGACGACAACGACGCCAGTAGGTATACTATGTCAGTTCTAACCCAGGACCTCTCAGGGGGGGTGAGGCGCGAGGGGAACCGCGGTGCGGGGGGGAGTGACGTCACGCGCGGGGAAGGAGGATCCGCGGCGCGAGCGATGGACGAAGGGGTCCGCGAGGTGAAGGGGGATCCGCGGCGCGAGCGATGGACGCGGGGTCCGCGCGGTGAAGGGGGATCCGCGGCGCGAGCGATGGGCGAGGGGGTCCGCGAGGTGAAGGGGGATCCGCGGCGCGACCGATGAATGAGGGGGTCCGCGCAGTGAAGGGGGATTCGCGGCGCGAGCGATGGACGGTGATGTGAGAAGGACAGCGCTACGTATGGGAAAAGGACAGTGCAAAGTGTGAAGAGGACAGTGCTACGAGTGCGACAAGGATGGCGTTAACGTGGGACAAGGACGATGTATAGGTGGGAGAAGGACGACGCAAAGGTAAGTGAACAACGAGTATATTCTAAGCGAAAGAGAGAGAACGATAATATCGAGAATAACAACGCGTGCGAGACAGAACGATAATACCGCGAGACTTACAACTAGCGCGTGCGAGAGAGAACGATAGCGCGAAGACGACGCGTGCAAGAGAGAACGATAATGTTGAGATTAACGCATGAGAGATAACAATACTTAAAATTAGCGCAAGAGAGACATAGGAATGGGAACGCATGGAGAGGCGTGTAAATAATTAGATTTTTTTTTTACGGATATAAAATATATAAAATTTATTAAAAATGTGTATGTGTTAATACAATTGTGTGTGTGTGTGTGTGTGTGTGTGTATGTACTTAAAATTATGATTATAATAATAAAATCAATAATAATAAAATAAAATATAAAATATAAAAATAAAATAATTTGGGGGTGCGGGGGTGAGGGTCAGGGAATGGTCACTCCTGGAAGACTAGGGGCGATGTGTCCCCCCTGAGGGACTTCCGCTCCTGGTCCTCTCGTCGACCATTCATATACTCTCGTAAACTCTGAAATTAAACACAATAATTGTAAGTGTTTTAAATTTATTACACATTATTACAAAAATATTTTTACCTTCAAATCTTCCAAGTCTTGCAGTAGCCTATTCTCATGCTCAGCTTCTTCGAGTTTTTTTATGTCTTCATATAATTCAAGTTGTTCAAGTTCTTCACGTAGTCTATTTCCATAACATTTTACTGCAGTGTGATTAGGATCTTCTTCTCTATACCTGCATTAACTTGTGCTACAATTGTCAACCGAGTTCGCCCAATATTTTCGAGATTTGAAAAATCCTGTCAATGAAATTATGCGAGGATTTTTCAAGCCGAGCTCTCGACTTCTTATAAATTGCACAACTGAAGTTTCCAGATTCTTCTTCAAAAGTTGTTCCCGCTTATACTTAAGTAATTCTTCAACACTAGTTTTCGCTCTCCTCTGTCTCTCAAGCTCAATTGTTTCCGCCTCTGAAGCAATCCAATCATCCATATCTTCATTGTCAAAGATAGAAACGTTTTCTTCAGCCATAATAAGAGATCAACGAAACACACAAGACTAACGAAACGCAAAGAACAACGAAATAATATTCTAATGTCGCAGACTCCTCTTTATTATATATCTTTTTAATATCTCGCGTCTCATTCGAACTAGAACATCGCGTCTCATCTACCTCAGCATTTCTCTACATCTTTGGCGGAGCGTGTTGAGAAAAATTGTCGACTATTCTTATTCGTATAGAACAGTGCTGGGATTTACTTGCAACTTTCGGCCAGATTTCTTTGCTTACGCCCACTGTTCCCCTCTTACTGCTCGCTCCTTAGCGACCGCGCCACCGGACGCTCGTAACTAAGGAGTGATCAGGAACGTGCGCGTTACAAATGTTATGTGACAATTTATCTAAGTTCTCTTTATTGTTTATTAATAATAAAAATAAGTATTCTATTATTAATTACGTATATGTTCTGTAATAATTTAAAATATTTGTGTTTTGAATCGTAATTACAATAAGAGAATTTAGATAGATAGATTGCCACATTACATTTGTGACGCACACGTTCCTGAGCGCTTCTTAGTTACGAGCGGCGCGAGCGGTAAAAGGAAAACAGTAGGCGTAAGCTA